TAATAGTTCGATAATTTTGGCATCTATATTGCCTTTCTTGAGGAGAGTGAGGATAAGAGACTGCGTCCAGGATGTCGGCCATTTATTGCAGATGCTAGAGAAGACGTCCACCATTGTCTCTCCATGCTTGATCCGTTCTGCAGGTATGTTGTGAACGCCAGCTGCCTTTCCGTTTTTCTGTGATCAAATGGCCGTCTCTACTACTTCTTCTCTAAGGATTGGGAAGTCATAATTATTTGTCGATTCATTGCAGGATGTTACAATGTGGTCACCGTTGGATTGGTGGTTTTAAAGGTCCGGACAGTATTCAGTCCATCTTTTTCGAATGCCCTCTTCCTCTGTGAGGCAGTTCCCAGCTTTGTCGTGGGTGGTGCTAACACGTGCTTGCCAGGGTTTTGCTAGTTTCTTTACTGTTTGGATTGCGCGTTTGCTGTAATTCTTCTAGAAATATTCCTCAATTTCCTTACACTGCTCCTTAATTTGCTCTTCTTTGGCTTGATTCATGTTCTTTCTGATCTTTTTATGGATATCTCTGTAGTCTTAAGCTTTACACACACACACACACACACATATATATATATATTCTTTTCTGATGTATAGGAAACTGGTTGTCTGCCATTCTGACCACGTGACCACTCACAGTAAAGTATTCGTCCACAGATCATGTAAAGTGTTTTACATATACATGTATATATATATATATATATATATATATATATATATATATATATATATATATATATATATATATATATATATGTGTGTGTGTGTCTGTGTTTGTGTGTGTGAGTGTTTGTGTGTGTGTGTGTGTAATGTGCATGTAATGTGTGTATGTGCTTGAATATAGTTTAGATTAATATGATTTTGCTTGAGCATAAGAAATGATTTTACCCAGTAGTTAACCAGTGACAGGGGGTCTGGTGGTTTTGAGGTTTTGGTGTTCACCTCTTATTCAATAGGTCGCAGGTTCGAAACTTGGTAGTGACGGAAAATGTTCTCCTCTAATCTTTTCTTTTTTTCCCCCTTTCCTGTTCGTTAACCATTTTCGGTCGTCTGCTTTCGTCGCCACTTTCCGACCACTCCCCCTCATCTTAACCCCCTTCTCTGAGCTCCTGATTCTTTTTGTAGCCTCTCTGCAGCAACTCCTAGGATGCTTCTTATTTCTGTCTTTCAGCCACACCCCTGATCTTATGGTGGGTAAAATCTAACACCTAGCCTAGAGAGAGATTGGGAGGTGGAGACAGAGAGAGAGAGAGAGAGAGAGAGAGAGAGAGAGAGAGAGAGAGAGAGAGAGAGAGAGGAGAGAGAGAGAGAGTGAGAGAGAGAGAGTGAGAGAGAGAGAGAGAGACAGAAATAGAGACAGAGAGAAACAGACAGACAGACAGATAGACATACAGACAGATAGACACACAGACTGATAGAAAAAGAGAGAGTAGAAGATGGAGGAATAAATAAAGAAACATGTGTATGTATATATAAGAAGATAATATTTATAGAGAGAAAGACATAGATAAACAATAAGAGAGAGTGAGAGAGAGAGAGAGAGAAAGAGAGAGAGAGAGAGAGAAAGAGAGAGAGAGAGAGAGAGAGAGAGAGAGGGTTAGTGAGAGGGGGAGACCACTTGACCAGCGCGGACATAAGAAAAGAGCGTCACGAAGTAGCCAAGAGACAGGGGTCAAACTCAGGACACTTTGCCACTGGCGCTTAGCTCCAACTAGTTTCATATTTTTTTAGTTTTTTCCCTTCAAATCCTTAGATATACCAGAAGAAACTTCATGAGTTTTTGCCTAGAGGAACATAGTTATGTCACGACACGGTCGAGTCGGGTTCTAGTCAATTTTTTTTAAAA